TGTGTGTGTGTGTGTGTGTGTGTGTGTGTGTGTGTGTGTGTGTGTGTGTGTGTGTGTGTGTGTGTGTGTGTGTGTGGCTCGCTCGCTCTCGAGCAGAGAACTTAGAGAAGGCGGGGCTTCGACATCACCGACGCACACTTTTAACTTTTAATAGCCAACGCAATAAATGCACTCACCATGCCTGACGACTACGATTCACAGAAGCTCCCGCTTTAATCGAATTTCTCTCTCTCTCTCGCTCTCTCTCTCTCTCTCGCTCGCTCTCGAGCAGAGAACTTAAAGAAGGCGCGGCTTCGACATCACCGACGCACACTTTATTATCGTTCTCGGCAATACCGCGCTATCCAATGTCATCAAAACGGCCCCACTTCACCGCGAGACCGAGCGGCAACCAGAGTCGGCATTCCGAGATGTCCGGGGACCGGGACACCTCCCGCTGACCGCGCGCAAAAAAAAGTGAATTAAAAAGGCGGGGAGGCCAGGAAAAGATCGAGCGAGTCGGGTTTCTCCGAACCGCGCGGTCACTCGCAAACCGCGCTGACCACGCGACCGCGAGGAATCAGATTTCAGATTTTGGGAGATCAGAGAAAGATCGAGCGCCTTCGCCTTCGCCTTGGCCTTGGCCCTGGGGGGCGCGTACCCATGAACTGTTGAAATGCAGAGCCGAGCTCGATTCCCTATGGAGTCTAATGGTCAGAACAAAATAATTCTGAATTGCCTGGGGGGGGAGGGGGGGTCAGGGACAATTGACGAGAGGAGGCAACCTTCCTACTTCAGTTATTTTGAAGGGAAAATTGCATCTGCACCCCTACTTCAGTTATTTTGAAGGGAGAAAGATGGCGATATCGGCTATACCCAGTCCAGCACCCGACTTGCATCTATACTTAGATCCGGTCCTACTTATTGTAATACCCTGCTTTTCCCATGCGCCAACTTATACCCGAACCCAGCCCCACAGACCCTTGGATGGGAGGCAGTATATTATGCTTATGCCCAGGAACCAGGCAGGCAAAATTGGGTATGCACATAATTTGCCCGGGTATGAGCATAATTTGAGCGTTCGGGGAGTTGGGTATAATTGCAATTTGGCCATCCGAACCTTGGCCCACCTCCTTCCTGGGCATCCAAATAATTTGCACAGACCATTTCCCGAGTACAGATGCAAGTTGGTCAGCGGGACTAGGTACAGCAGGTATTCCCATCTTTAAATGAGGCACAGATGCAATTTTCCCTATTTTGAATGGTCCCTACCCAGGCAGCCCGGGTCATTTCAACAGCTAGCAGCTGTTGAAGCTCTTAGGACTCCTATGGTTGGAACTCTGGCACTTAGGGACCATTCTCGCATCCACTCAGACACCTTAGGTATAACTCGCATACAAAAAAAATTGCACAACGGGTTGTATGCGAGTTGAAAAGTTTAAACCACCAGTACTTTCTAAAGTTGTGCCCGTCAATAAGCTGCAACTTTAGGAAAATCAATAAGCTGCAACTTTAGGAAACATACGGGCAACTACAGAAGTGCCCAAATTCATCCGACTAGACTATTTTTTTCAGCGGCCGATAGCTGAGCCAAGTACTAGTGGTTTAACCCCTGCAAATGCATTGTTCGCAGGATTTATGGGGCTAAAAATAAATATTAAAAAAAAGGCAGCGGCCCCTAAAGTCTAGTACGGAGGAATAGTAAAATTTTGAAAAATAAGAGTTTTTTTTTTTTTTTTTTTAATGCATAGCACTATTTTTGGCACGATGTGTGTGTGTGTGTGTGTGTGTGTGTGTGTGTGTGTGTGTGTGTGTGTGTGTGTGTGTGTGAGAGAGAGAGAGAGAGAGAGCTTCTCAGACACAACACACCCTCATTTGGGCTGCATCAGACCGAAAAGATAGCTTGTACTCATTCATTATCAGGATGTGGTCGTTCCCCAAACACAACACACCCTCAGAACAAAAGTATACATTGAAAGCTATCTTTCTAGTCTAATACAACCAAAATGAGAGTGTATCGTGTTCGAGGAAGTAGCAGGGGGGAAGGGGAAGGGAGAGAGAGAGAGAGAGAGAAAGAGTCAAAGAAAGGGAGCCTGAAAACAACACACAACATGTTTTGTTAAAATATTAAACGATTATTTTGTGTACTGTTTTATAAACGAATTTGTAAAACAACTTGTACCTCCGCTAGTCGGAAAATAGGGAGGCCTTCAGTGGGCCTACGATCTTTTAGGGGGCTGAAATGAAACGACGGGGGGGGGGGGGGGGGGGGGGGGGGGGGGGGGGNGAGAGAGAGAGAGAGAGAGAGAGAGAGAGAGAGAGAGAGAGAGAGAGAGAGAGAGAGAGAGAACCCGAAAACGATGCACATGTTATTTGTTAAAAATTTAAAATATTAAATGAGATTATTTTGTGCATTATTTATAAACGAATTTGTTAAGCAGTGAAATCCAGCTTGAAGCACATCCTTAACACCTATGATAAGGATCTATCCGTCATTTGTTTAGCAGTGAAAACCAGCTTCAAGCAAATTCTTAATACCTATGATAAGGATGCATCTGACATAGAAACCCAAGATACTTGGCTCGCACGGTTGGGCACCCCGTGCAAGGCTGCAGCAAAACTAAGCACTGACTCTTGCGCAGGAGAAACTGTATTTGTTCTATAAAGGATGCATCCTTATCATATGTGTTATCACCTAATATGATAAGGATGTCTTTGAAGTATAATCCTATGGTACTTGGCTCGCACGTCCGGGCACCCCATGCAAGCAAAAACAAGTCATTCACTTCCTTATTTAACTCATTTTGACTCCCGCGTAGGAGAAGCTCTCTTTGTTCTATACAGGATGCATCCTTATCCTATGTGTTATCACCTAATATAATAAGGATGTCTTTGACGTATAATCCTATGGTACTTGGCTCGCACGTTCGGGCACCACATGCAAGCAAAACAAGTCATTCGCTTCCTTATTTAACTCATTTTGACTCCCGCGTAGGAAAAGCTCTCTTTGTTCTATAAAGGAGTTATAACTTATATGTATTAAGTTAAGGGTGTAATAGCACCTGGTTTAAACTACTTAAGAAGATTACTCATTTGTAAGTAATGACAACCAGATTCATTACACCTTTAAACCACCAGTACCTCGCCCAGTTATAAAGTCTGAGTCTGAGCCTATCGGTATGTCGAGCCTATGGAGCCTTGTGATATCGTTATTATCACAGGCTTTGATCGTTTGCAATCACAAAAGAAAAAGAAGAAAAGAAAAAAAGTAAAAAACCTAGCTTGCCAGGGAGAACGGTCGGGATCCTTCTGGATGTCCCACTTGTCTGGTCGGACAACAGGGGAGACGTCTGCCGCTACCAGTATGTCCGACCCTCTATCAAAAACACTAAATAATATAAAATATATATTTAAAAAAATATTTTATGTGGGTTCTCTATCACATGAGGTATATGCCACAAAATATTTGGGTCATTTGAGTTTTTTTTTAGCCCATTGAAAAGAAATCAAAATCGCTAAAGATATTTGTGTCAATTTCAACCAAACGGGTAATATATCTTATTGGGGTCAATTTCAATCACGCACTCCAGCCCACCCCCCCAAAACCCCTTTCCCCATGTTTTGCATTTTTTTTTTTTTGCTTTAAATGAGCTGAAATGTTTTTTTATGGGGCCACATGGCCCACCTCATGTAAAGCAACCCCTCCCCGTTTTTTTATTTTTTCTTTCGCTTTTTATTTTGAAAAAAATAAGTTGTCCTCCCTCACCCGGACGTCCAACAAAGATGTCTCCGAGAAACCTCTCTGATTGGACATCTGGTAACGTAGCAAAAAATTAATGACATTGTTAAGGAAACGATCCAATTACTTCTCTATAAAAAAAAAAGGAAAAACAAACTACGAAAATCGTTATCTTTCTGATCGTGTGCTGCACACACACACACACACACACACACACACACACACACACACACACACACACACACACACACAAAACAGCCTGCCACTATACAAATGAACAAAATGAGAATAAATCTTGTCGCTTTTTGGCAGATGATTCATCCTCTTTTGTAAATCTGGAGGATACGGTCGCTGCTCTCTAAATGTGCAAATTTGCAAAACAATAATGGATATTCCTGCACTCTAGCGGAAGATTTTGAACATTCACTTCCTCACACACAGGGAGAGAGAGAGAGAGAGAGAGAGAAGGAGAGAGAGAGCATTCTGGCGTGTCGTGTGCAAAATGAGGACGAATCTTCCGTAAGAGGGCTAGAAGATCCATTATTGTTTTGCACATTTAGAGAGAAGCGGCTTACTCTCGACATTTGCAAAATGAGAATGAATCATCTGCCAAACAGCGACAAAGATTCATTCTCATTTTGCTCATTCGTATAGGGGCGGGATGCTTTTTTTCTCTCTCTCTGCACCTTGAAGCAAATGTGCAAAATGAGAATGAATCTTCCGCAAGAACGCAGAAAGATGTATTCTCGCTTTGCATTTTCTCTCTCTCTCTCTCTCTCTCTCTCTCTCTCTCTCTCTCTCTCTCTCTCTCTCTGCGCGTGTCGAAAAAAAGAATTTATTTCTACTTTGTTTTTCCTTTTTTTCACATCGGTTTTATTTGTTTAAAAAAAAAAAGAAAAAAAAAAACATGGTTTGTTTGTTTTTTTCTTTTTGCCCATGAATCCTTCAGCTACCAGGCGTGCGCTTTCCAGATCCCTGCTAGACGTGGTGCATTAATCGCCACATCGCAAAAACGTGGCAGGTGGGATACTAGTGGTTTAATACAATTACGCCATATAATAAGGATGCATCTAGTAGAAAACCATAATTGTAACAATTCTAGAATTGAATATTACTGTGATTCATTTTGTTCTTAAAGTCATTGACCTCATAATGACCACAAAACACTCCGTAATCTCAAAGAAATCATCATCAAGTCACTGATCATAGAATAGCAATAATTGTCGAAAGATGATTATCATGTGCCACAACCTATAGTGTGAATGCATCATATATGAACACAACAACATGTCACTCAACATTGTACTTTTATATCATAAGAATCAACAATATATGTAGATTTAAAAGACGGGTATTTTCATAAATAATTCATCATCACTGTTCAAAAATACCGAAGCACAAATATTAGATGAAATGTTGAAACGACTTCCATATCCACAATAGTTCATGAGAAAATAATTTATCTTTTTGACTTCATGCTGTTGATTCAAAAACATGTAGACTATGTGTCCCCCTAGGCCGCGGCCGCCTCCGACTCGGTCGCGGTCGAGCAGGTCAGCCACGGGCCCGCGACCGAGTTCCCATGCGGCCGCTCCACGGCCCAATGGGGGCGCGCGCGGGAAATCGGCACGCGCACGCGGGCGGC